CATAATTCTGATCTTCCTTTGAAGTTAATGGTTTCTACAACAACTGTCCTTTTTTATCTACTATGATCTTTGATTTCAAATGCAAACTACATATGATCTAATTTTATCACTCTCATTAAAACTGCTAACATGACTTTGTTCCAATACATTTAAGATTCATTTTTAATGCATTAACTTGTATAACCCAACTCTCCATTTCCCATCAAATTAAATAGGTTCAGTGTTTTTATCCTGTTTTATGTTTCTTTTCAATATTTTTATTAGTGGAAGAATCATTTATGGCTTTTTATTATTGTTATTTGACTTTGGAAAGATAAATTTCAAATGTGCTTCCCAAGATGCCATTATTAAAAAAAAAAAACCCAAACAAAACTTTGTGTTGTTACTTCAAAACTAAAATTTGAAGTAGCCAGGGATTTAGCTTAGTGGTGCTGCCACCTGCCTCGCAAGCGCAAGCCCCTGAGTTTGATCCTGGGTACCAAAAAAAAATAAACAACAACAAAAAAAACTAAAACTAAAACTTGAGATTGAACAGTAATTTTTTCAAAGTATGCTAAAACAGGGAAAATATATTCATCATAATTATTATAAAAAACAACTCGAATCCTTCTAAAACAAATTTTACTTTTAAATAGACAAAGCTAGGCATAGTGCTGTGCACCTTCAATCTGACTATTCAGGAGACTGAGGCAGGAAGATCATTTGAGCCCAGGAGTTCAAGGCCAGCCTGGGCAACATAGTAACACCCTATCTCAAACAAACAAAATAGATAACTAGATAAGAGTTTTTAAATACATAAAATTCATTATATACTTTTTTCCACAATAACTTTATCTTCAAACTGAGATAGAATAAAGATCTATACATTGACATTATCCAGGAAAAGTTCAAGACGTAAGAATAAAAATCGTATAGAAATATCTAAGCATGTTTCATATAATAGAATTCACAACTTTCTTACCTTTGTGCAGAGATAGATGTTTGTATGTTTTGGGGATTTATATATACAAATCATCAAACAATGCCTGACACCTAGCAGATGTGCAAGGAATATCTGTTGAATAAATATTCTACAGAAAAACACTTACGATAGTATGAACATCTAAAAGACAATAATAATCCACCTGACACTTTGCAGAATTACTTCCCAAGATCATATGTATGGTAAGGTCTTAGAACTAACCATTATATAAACAATCATAATTTTTCTAGTTGGAACAATTGTTGAACAGTGGTCATATCCTACCAACAAGAAGATACTATAAACTTTAAGAAAGTTTACACACCAGCAAGTTCTAAAACATTTTCTGGGATATAAGCCTCAACAGCATCCTGGTTCTGGATATATATGGAAAGTCAGGACTTGACAGTATCTGCCCAGATTTAGAAGAGTAATTCAGAAGCAATAACAGCCAAAAACCACAAAAAGGTTTGCATACGCAGCTGCACCAAGGTTTACACAGTGCATTAAATTACCACTGGCATCTTTTTACTAGTTTCCTGGTGTTAGCTTTAGAGTTAAAAGGAACCAATTTGGAAAAGGCCCAAAAGGAACACAAACAGTAGGCTTTCACTTTCCCTAATGTTTTCTCACACAATGAGAAATATAAAATAATGTTTCCCACATTTACACTTTTATAAGTAATGTGAAACTCCACAATGCTTCATTTGCTTTGCTTAAATAAGGAAAATCCTACAACATTCAAAGAACCATCATTTAAAAAAAGAAAACCAGAAAGCTAGAGCACATATCCACTTCACAATGAGCTATGAATCTCACATTAAGTGTGACAACTAGAAAGTTCACTACAATAAGGACATTAATACAGAATACTACAGTCAAAGGAACCAGTGAAATATTGGTAGGGTAATAACAAAAATAATGAAGAATAACATCAAAAATTTTAGTATAACGTTTTGGAGGAAACAAAGTATTTAATCATAATCAAAATATACTTTAGCCAACTAAAAATATCATCCCTTAGTATGTTCTGGAAGAAAAAGGTGTATCTAGATGGAAAAGAGAAATAAATATTTGGCCTACAGACAGATGGAAAGCAAATAATTCCTAAATATGATGAGAAAAACATTAACACTTTGATTTAAAATATTAACTTGATTTTTATTTTAATTTTCATACAACAAACCATTAGTCATTGAGTCTCTTGATATTTCATGCTTTTCATTTAATGATTTACCCTTTTATGTTTTGAAAACAATACAAGCAACTGATTTCAATAAAGGCTTTTGATTTTGATGCAGGTATATTTTGATTGGTTCTTTTTTTTTCCCCTGCCAACTACTTTTAAAAAATCTTTACTAAATAATACTGATACATTTGTGAAAACTGGAGAGGTTTTCCAAATTCTTGTGCCAATAGTAAACATAAACATTAATAAAATATACAGCATCATGTCACAATAAAAAATACTAATGTACATATGTAGTGCAAGAATTAAAAAATTAAAAATTTCACAATTGATACTGTAAATGAATAATTGTGCAAATATCTCTAACAACTTCCTCTGCACCTTTGAAGCCCTTTAATTTTTCTAGTATGACCATTTGTTAGAGTTATGTTCTTATTAGTATGGTGAGTATTTTGATTTTGATAATTATGAACATCTTTGATTAACTTAAACCTTGTTACATACAGTCCCTGGTTACAAAAGAGAAAGTGCTTATAGACAACAATAGTCTCAGAGACTAAGATAATTCCACACTAATACATTACACGTACTGCCATTGGCATAGATTATATCACTGGACAGGCCTTTTACGTTTATATACACATACACAGATATTTTTAAAATGGAGATAGATAAAAACTCTAGTGGTCTCTATATTTCAAGAAGGGGATGTTTCTTTCAACTAAGTTAATCATTCATGGAGATAAACAAGAGGAACCTTTTCCTCAATAATAATGTATATGATCCAAAAAGTCTGTTATATTATTTTATGCAGAAACATAAAAAGCAAGAATCACTCGATTATCTGTAAAGAGAAAAGAAACACTAAAGTCTCCAAAAGATTGTGATTCTTTCCTATTTCCTTCTGCAAAGTACTTTAAGCATCTTATAAAGACTTGTAAGTTGACTGCAGAAAAAATGAGTTTAAAAGCCACTAAAATCAAGGTGAGTATTCACAAAACAGGTAGAAAGAATATGAAGTGTTGTTGTCATTCAGAACAGAATCATTAAATGAGCCAGGACATCCGATAAAATGTATTATCCAGCTAAATTTACGCAGACCTACAAAATCGAGGACAAAGCAATGAGGACTATTAGGGGCAGAGAAAGGGTGGGGGAATCAGTAAATGTAGAAAGAAAATTGTCACTTCAAGACCAAACACTTCTGAATGGAAGAGTAACAGTGAGGAATAACAAATGTGCTCATCAGTTCTGGCCACTCTGGATAGCAAAAGGAAGGAGAGAAGAATTGAAGTAAGAAAACTATATATTTCTATAAGGAGAGTGAAATAAAATTAATCTCTTACAAAGTCTTCTAAAAAATAAAAAAAACCTAAATAATGTAAAATTTCTACTTTGACTCTTTGATTGTTATAGCCAAAAACATCTGGGAGCATATAATATATAGTAAACCAGTACTCAACTTCTGAAATATAGATTCAATAAATAATTACTTTAACCATCAAAACCAGATTAAAATGTATTAATGGAAAAAGGGAATGAAAACTGTCATGATATGAAAACCAGAAAAGTAAAACTATAGTTAAATCAAGTTCCTCCAGGAAAGAATGACATAAATTAGATATTAATAGTTCAGTCTTTTAGGAAAAATGTAGTTACATTTTAGAGAATGAGTGAAAGGACCTAATTAAACATATAAGCTAATGATGATATTTTACTGTAAAATATAAATTGATGAATTATCTAGAAAATGGTAGTTTTCTAGTATAAAAAGGCAGAAAATAAAGACGGATGACCTCAAACATAATTACTTCCATTAGGTTTTATGTTATTATTTTATTTATATGTGAGGGTAACACCACCAGTGAACACATGATAAAATAAATTATAAGGCCAACTAAAAGTACTTCATGAAAAGACAATGTACATTGCAATGATGAAGGCTACTGTCTGGATGGTATAATTTTCCAGTATATTTTTGACATTTTAGGGAAATTGCAACAAGTTAGGGTTATATACTAACAGCTACTTTGCAGCCCTTGAATTCTTCCAGCATAATTTATCAGTTAGAGTTACCTTCTTACTGATACATAAATTGAAGAAAGGAAAAAAAACAAAAAAAATTTATGAAATTAATTCTAATATATTTTGTCCCCTTGTTTCCATCATTACGTGGCTGGGAATTTATCTATATAGTCATATAAGCCCTATATAAAATGGATCCTATGAGGAAGCAAGTTCTAAATTACATGATCAATATTAGCACATAGCTTTGGCAAACATTTGGCAATATAACCAAATAATTATTAACCAGAGATATTTATAGTAATTTGTATATATGTATGTATGCATACATACATATATATATATAAATGTGTGTAGTAAATGAAATGTAAATTCATATATAATTTAAAGTGTTAATTTTACATGTAACTAAAATAAAAAACATACACACACATCCAATAAAAAACAATATACACATATCCAACAGATTTAAATTTGATAACTGCTGGACACAATTTAATCAAATTTAAAGTAACAATTGGGGAAAAAACAAAATATGCATAAAGACCCATTTCACATATACAAATTTTTGGCAAACATGTAATAAGGATGCTAATTTCCATAGCATAATACAATACATTATACAAGAAAAGTAATTAAATTCATTCGTTTTTATTTTAGTTCAGTTTAAGCATTAAAGTAAAATTTTATGTTGGGGTATCCAGTTTTAAGCAAATTCAATATATTTTTTCACTTGCAAATTTTGTATGACTATGATTAATCTTTCAGAGCTATATATCTTCTTCAAAACAGCTTATGCCTTTGTACAGAATTTGGATCACATACCCATGCCTCTGTCTGAATGGGCTTGATACTGCTTAATAGCACCTCTTCATAGTTTCCATAATCAATAAATTTAACAACTGCAGTCATACCGGAAGAATGGAGAGCTTCAACTTCTGCTCGGTAAAACTGAAGAGGCAAAAAAGAATTTTAAATATCACAGTCAGTATCTACAAAGGCAATGTTTGATGGAAATATAAAATTCTTGAAATAAATTGCAACAATGTGTAACATTCTGAAGAAAGTAAACTCACTTTTAGGTAACTCTGACTAACATTGGTAATTCTTACACAAACATATGAATATATAAAAAGAACGGCCATTGTTTTAGTCATCACAGATGGCTGGAGGTAAGGACACTAGACAAGGAGTAAGCACATATCTTTGATCTAGGATTTCCAGGATTTGAGACCCCTCACGATCAGAAACTTTTCATTTTACCCAATGTTATTTGGTTTGAGGACTGATACACATTAACAAACTCATAAGAAACTGATTCTATAATAACTACAATTTGAAACTTTTATCTATAAACAAAGAGTAGATCATTGAGTTGGAGTACTTGCCCAATATAGATCAACTTATTCAGGACACAGATTATAGGCCTGAATGTGGTTTAGTGAATGTGAAATGAAAAGAAGAAATCATTTGCTTTGAAAGTGTATTTTCTTCAAACTGTCTACTCAACAGTATTTCTTAATAAGCTCACCGAATCAGAAAATGCTAAAGGTAAAAAGAAAAAAAATTCAATCATATTCCCCATGTTCTTCTAAAAATAAGTTACCCCAATATACAACAAATAAGGTTGGTTTTTATCTAGTATATTTATTAGTAACTAGTATAATTCATACTACAAAAGTTTAAGTGACTCCATGTGCTTCTTTCCCAGACCTGGATGCTATCAAGTTTAGACATATCATGATGGGATTTTCTTTCTCTTAAGGTTTTTTTTGTTTTTTATTTTTAAAGAAGAGCAGGCAGACATGTGTGCTGAACAATATTTAATTTTTGTTTTAGTTGCTGTTGTTTTGTGGTGCTGGGGAATCAAATTCAGGGCCTCAGGCATGCTAGGCTAATACTCTACCACGGACCCACTCCCCAGCCCTTAGGGTTTTTGAGTAGTATTTCTCTTTCTCTACTTCTTCATTTTTCAGTCTCTCACTATGTGAATTGTTCTGATTATGTGCTTCAACCATAAGCTTTCCAAATTATGTCAGTTCAGGTAAGTTAAACAAGCACTGAATCATGCTATGTCCTAGAAAACTAAATAAGTTGATGTTTTCTTGGGAATTTACAGTTGAGTCTTTATCCCTTAGGATGCTGTGGGGTTACTGAAGAAATGAGTATCCCATGCACCTGGTTTGTACCTTCAACTCCTCAGAAAAAGCTCTAACACCAAGGTGAGTTTTTAAAAGTCTCATTTAAGAAACCCTGCCCCAACTAAAGCCAAGTTTTTTAATTCCATAAAAAAAATCCACCTTTCAGTTTAATAAAGATAATCCATATAAAAAAATTTTATAATGCATAAAGCACTCTAATAAAAATGTTGTCATATGGCACTTAATAAAGCTGAAGAGCTCATGAAGAACTTCCTGAAACAGATGGAATGGATTCAAAGATGAAAACTGTTTAGCCAAGTACAAGGACTGACCAAAAAATATTGTGTTTAAATAAAAAATATTATAGTAAAAGACATACTGCCATTAATCCCTCTCAAAATATTTCTTCTCATTTCACATACACTTATTTCATCATTCTTGCCACTTTCTGAAACAGTTCTAGAAGTTCTCTTTAGTGTCTTTAGGAGATGTGATCAAAAATCAGGGTGCATGCTGCAGCCAACTGCCATCCAACAAAAAAGTGGGCTCATAAAAGCATTATGGTGTGTCCTTATTCACTTTATTCAACATATTTGGTACTATGTTATTTTTGGATCTTTCCTAAAGTCAAAATGACCATGAAAAGTAAACATTTTTAATAAACTCAGGGCATGATAGCAGCCACAACAGTGCAACTAAAGATACTTATGAAAGAAGACTTCCAGACTTGTTTCAGAGTGGCAAGAATACAGTGATCAGCATGTTCAAAGTGAGGGAATGTATTCTGATGGAGATTAATGGCAATGTGCCTTTTATTATAATACAGTGTTTTTTCAAAAATTAAACATTCATCCTATTTTTTAATCACACCACATAAACTGCAGAGAAGGATGTTTAAGGGAAAGTTACAGAAACACAGAACATGAAGATGACTGTTGGAATCTGACAGTCTTTAATTAATTATGCTATGATGTGAGAAAATGGTTCAACCAACAAAAAATTAGTGGAAGGAAGGAAGGGTCAGATGATGGAGTATACAGACTTGCTAGAATCTGAGTTCAATCTACAGGTGCAAGAGTTTAGAGGAAGAATGACATACCTTAAAACCAGGATCACACCAGTGGCAGTATCAATGACAAATTTAGGGGGGATGAGGTTTAATGCAAGGAAGCTGATTTGGGGGTTTTTATAATAGTCCAGTTAAGAGGAGAGAAAGACCTGAACAGGTTTGGCAGTCTAGCGGAAGAATGAGAACTGCCTCAGACTTTCAAAACCTTGTAAGGAAACAATACTTTTTTTAAAAGGCATGGTATTGTGGTGAATTTTTTTAAGCAAAGTATACTATCTCTAAAACATTAAACTGCAATTAAGATTACAGTTTCTTAATGTAGTAACAGTCAATTCCTTTTCTTAAATTTCCCTGTCTCTGGCTAGAAAACTGGAAAGTTACCTATTCTTGACTGTACAGTCAAGTTACCCCTTAGAGGTTTCAGAAGGTGAATAATTTCCTCTTTCACAGGATACTTGTTTGCCTTACTGCTGATACTTAATAGGGTAATCTACTTAGAGTCTACAGACCTCATCCTACACTGAAAAGTATACATATCCATTTAAATCAAACTATTCACCTTAAGAGATCATCCAAGTACTCTAACTCTGCAATAGCTGGAAACCTGGGTAAGGTACTGTGTTCTAGATACTTTTTTTTTTTGTACCGGGGATTGAACTCGGGTCCTTGCACTTGCACGGCAAGTGGCGAAACCACTGAGCTAAATCCCCAGCCCTGTTCTAGATACTTTTGGTATTATTTTAAACATATTTAATAGATACAGTAGATGAATTCAGTATTATTGATTTTTTATATACAATTAAGACATAAAGCTTTATTAATAATCTTACCAGGTATTTCAAAAAAGAAATGGGTAATGCAGCCAGAGTTATCTTACATATTCCAAGTATCTAGCACTTACCTACTCAATTCAATACTCAATACTTGTCAAAGGAACTTGTCTAATTCCAATTATCTGAGTGCACAGACATGTTATTCTTTTTTTTTTTTTTTTTTTTTTTTGGTACCAGGGATCAAACTCTCGGGACCTTGCACTTGGCAAGGCCGGCGGCAGAACCACTGAGCTAAATCCCCCACCCCAGGCCCGTTATTCTTCTGTTGATTCATTTGTTTGCTGTCAATCATCCAAATCATTCTTTCTCCTTTTGGTAAGCAGATAAAAAAGGGATATCCTTGATTCTGTTGAAGGCTGGTTTTAGGCTCTGTAAGGGTTGATTGTTTTATGTTTGCCTTTACTACTTAAGGCACAATCCTTATGGGATTTCAATAGAAAGCCTAAATAATTTACCAAGCTTTTTAAACAATGGTTGAACTTGAATTCCAGTCACTTGTCAAGGCCACAAACAGCCTCACATTATCCAAGACAGAAAATATTTTTTTATCTTGATCTTAACCTTTCACAAAAGCATCTGACACAGCAACCATTCTTCTACAGCAGACAGTACTGGCTTGATAAAGACTGACTTCCAGCTACTCCACTTTATCTTGCAGTAAAGGAAAAGACAGCTGTAAGGAATATCCCACAACCCAAATCAAACAATTCTTTAATTTTGGAAAGTGGTCTGGATAAACCACTTGGGAATGGAAGAATCTAGGTAGTAAAATGAAGTCTGCATTTGTTTTCCAAGCCTCCCTAATAGCCACAGAGTGGCCATGTGAAAGTTCCAACCAACAAGATTTAAATATAGTGTCCTACTATTCCTGGGAAGGCTTTTGCTATTCTAGGGAAAAAAAAAAAAAAAAAGGCACATAATTTTGTCTCATTTCTTCCTTTTATCCTTGAACAAAGGCTTGACAGCCAGAGATGCTACTTCTAAACAAATACTATTGCACATTCATACAAAAACTTTAAAAGCCAACGCCATCTAACATTGCTACTCTGTCCTCTTTGTTATTAGCATCAGGTACTGATTAACACCCTGCTTATACCTCATCATTCTCTGAACACAACAGAGCCTAATTCCAGATCACTAAGTCCTATACAGCATCTCTGTAAAGGATCAACCTATATTCTTTAGTTAGAATTTCAGTTCCTTGAAATCTAGTTACCTTTACTTCCACCCTCCCTTCAGCCACACACTCCCATTAACACATCTTTACCTTATCGATTGAAGCTATGCTATGAAATATTTATTTCAAATATTTTTTATTTTCACATGAACCGATATCCACCCAGATCCCACATTTTGCAACTCCCTTATATGTTTCTGCTAATATCTTTAGTTTCCTCATCACTATATTTCTTTCCTAGATAAGTATCCTCTCCTAAATTAACTAATTAATAGAGTAAACAAACAATTATGAAATCCCTTTATTGTAGGAAAAACAGGGCTACAGAAGACACCAAACATAGTCCTACCTTCAAGGAACTTAGCAGCATCAAGGTATGGAGAAGAGGTACCAGTCCAAGAATCAAAACCAAAAAGATTTACAAATGGTGCTGTTTTTAAAAAGTGAGTAAAGAAGGCACTGGTTGAGAAGGAGATTCATGTATGAAAGAGGAGGCAAAAGATAAAAAATGCTTGTTCTAAGAGGTGATGTTTGAGCTAAACCTTCAAGGATGAGAAGAGTAGTGTGTAGAAGAACATATTGAGCCAAGGGGAAAACGTGGAAAAATTGTGTTCTGACAGGCCTTCTTTCCTCTTCCCCTTCCTGTTTTCACTGTGCTGATCTCCTAGCTCTGGCCAAGCTCTTACTTGATTCACTGGAATTTCTCAGCCTCATCTTTTTTCCTTCCTTTTCTCCCATGACATCTTTCTTTCCCTTTGGTATACCTCATCGGATTGAACTAAAGATGTCTAAATTATCAGTCTAATAACTCTTAAATTACTTGTTACAAGGTGAAAAACATATACTTTTAGTTTTTTTTAAAAGGCTGCAGTATATTGTTTAAATGAAATACTGATTTTCTTGTCAATCAGTAAGAATCTAACTAGAAAGAAAAACAAACATAATTCAGCAAATGGTAGTTGAAATAAAGTTGCATTAATCATTTTTGCAATACTTTTCTGATACATAAGTTAAAACCAAACTTATTTTAAACAAATTTTGTGGGGAAGATTCTAAGTATCCAGAAAAAATATTAAACCTTCTTTTCCTCACTTTTATAAATTATGTATCTATAAATCTATTTAAAGGCTTTAAATAAGCACAATTGTAGAATAAAACTCAGTCCCCACAGTGACGGTTTTGAAATCCCACCAGAGTATGACATTTAGTAATATTAGTACATGCTTACTTCATACCTTGTTGTCTTCCCAATAAAGTGCAAAACATTCATCTCCAGGTTTCCACATTTTTGCATACTCCATAGGAATAGATGATTCCAGCACTTTTTCTGGCTTAATTGGCCCAGATCTTCTTTTGGGCCCACTATTGTAAAATATTTTATCTTCATAGGGCATAGCTGCGACAGATCCTGCTGGCTTAATCGGTCCTACTCTTCTCCCTTTCAGGGGCATTTCTGTCTCTCCATTTGGAATGCCAATGAAACTATTACTTCGGACAGGATTCTGGTAATCAGTATTTACGTGAAAATGTTTTTCAATTTTTACACCACTGAAAGCTTCATTATTTATTGTTCGTGATTTCCTGTCATAAAAATGATCAGGATTACCTGTTTGGCTTTCTCTTTTCCCACGTTTTTGATTATTATAATCTGTGAATTCTTGAGGAAGTGGATTTTCTTTTGCTTCTGCATAGGCTGGACCTTTTCCTGATCTGCTTTGCATAGCATTATCTCTTTTGTTAAAAGCACCATCACTGTGCTGAGAACTTAGAGGATATGAAGTATCTTTAGTTCTGTCATATCTAGAATATGGTCTATCACATTTGATTCTCTCCTCAGCCCATACTTCAGATCCTGAAGAAATACTCGGTCTTTCAGAAACTCTATTTCTAGGCAATCCACTGCCATCCAAAACTGACTTTGAATTTTGGATGTCTCTTTGAAAACGAGGAGGTTTTTCATTTCTTGGCTGCCTGGTATCATTACGAGGAAGATGTCTTGGTTGATTATCTTTTACTCCATTTTGTTCATTATTTGACATTCTGTGGTGTCCCTGATGAAACTGCTGTGGCTGTGACTTAGGTTCTGAAAGGTAAAAGTATATCATATGCACATTATATGAAACTACACTCTATTTTTAAATGCTTAGAATTATTACATTAATACAAAATTATCAAACTACCACTTTAAGATCTTACTCCATCTTTCTACCTCATCATCTTAACTCCTCTCTGGTTTCTTAGTGTCTCATATTTTTTACATACAGTTTTCCTGCTTAGGCACAATAGAGAAGTAAAGTAATGATATAAACCAAGAAAAAATGTTGAATGATCAAAAGTCACTCATCACTGTCACTGAATGTTTGTACTCTGACAGCTATCTGTATGTGATTCTGACAATTCATTTTCCAAAGAATTAATAAAATACAAATAACCATGAAACTGCACAAATACAGTGCTTGCTTACCCACTTTCTGTATCACAGATATTTTACTAAGGAAAAGAATTAACAATTTTGTGATCTATCAAAGTAAGAAAAAGTACTTAAACAAATAATTCCAACTTGAAGCCAAAAGCTGTAACATAGTAAAAATACACCAATAGTTAGTAATTTAATGGCTCTATTTCACATAGTAATTTTTATTCTATTTCTATTCGTACCATGTCATTTACACTTTCTTCCTTCATTGTTTCACAGAGCATGTCTACAACATTATCAAACATATTGATTTGTCTTTGGTGAACAATGTTTCTTTTGTCATAGACCAGAATCAACATACAGGTCATTATTATTCTTATATTCCCCCCAGGATCATAACATTTCCAAAGATGGACACTATTAACATTTGACTAAATATGCTTCCTGCATTGTAAGAAAATTAACTTCACTGCCCTCCAAACACTAAATGCCAAAAGCACCCTTCCCTATATCCCTAGTCACTGAAATCACTAAAACAGTCCACATGTATTTCTGAATGCCCACCGGAAGCAAAAAGTTATCTGATAAATTATTTAGAACAGGAACATGAGAGAGCTCTTTAAAGGTTTTAAGGGACAAAACTGGTCGTAGACTAAATATCAAGATTTAAAATGGCAGCAAAAATAACAAAACAACAAAGTTTCCTGACACAACCACTAAAGGCAGAAGCCATTTTAGTATGATTTAAATTCTTCTGAAAGTAAAGGAAAATTATTTTCTAAGTAAAATTCTATATCGAGTCAAACCACCCATTCATTAATTGTGACAAAGAATAAAGATTTTGCAAATATGCAAGATTTCAAACCTTAGCCAGGAATATGTAAAGAGAAACTATGCCCAAGAACATATTCTTTAAAAATAACACAAAGATCTTATTTTAACTCTGATAAAATCAGTTTTTCTTTAGTAAAAAAAAAAAAAAAAAAAAGTCCCCTTTTGTTTGTGCTAACATTATTTATTTTGTCCAGAAAGAAAGATTCAGGGAAGTGAGAATAGTCAGACTCATTAAGTAGGGCACAATGAATACTTTCAACACAAATCATGTATTGGCATTTTTTTCCATTATTAGAGAATAAAAGAAATAATCCCCATTATACTGAGATAATATAGCTATAGTAAGCTGAGTGTAGTGGTATATGCGTATACTCCCAGCATTTGGGAAGTCAAGGCAGGAGGTTTGCAAGTTTGAGCCTAGTATGGACAACTTAGTGACTTAGCAAGATCCTGTCTCAAAATAAAAAAGGGCTGGGAATGTAGCTCAGTGTAAAGGCCCTGGGTTCAATGTGAACTACCAAAAAAAAAGTAAAATCTATAAAGGAAGTTGTTCTAAAAAAATTAGAATATAAACTAAGCTCATAGGTAAAACAAAAACATGCTTTTAAAAGGTAATTTTCATATACTATACTCATTTCATTCCCAAATGAAATGAAGAATGGGAGGTTCTTTTATTTTTATTTTTTCCAGGTACCAGCAATCAAACTCAGGGCCTTGCACTTGCCAGGCAGGCGAAGCATTGCTGAGCTACACTCCCAGCCCAAGAAAAGGAGGTTCTTAAATATTGCTTCTTTCTCAGGTTTCCTTAAATTCAATATATTTTATTTTAGGTAATTAAGTAATAAAGTTATATATAAAGTAAATATTTTGAAACTGAGCTAATCTATTGAATAAATAGCAAAATATATACACTCATTTACTAAACTGAGAAAGGGCATTTTAAGTAAATTTTAAAATATCTCACAAATCAAATGGAAAGAGAGCTCCTCAATTCTACAATCAGAAACTCCTCAATTCTACAGTCAGAAACTAGCTGTTTTCTGCCACTCTTAGAAAAATCATCAAAACTATAAACTATGCACATGACCAATCAGTATGGCCAGGTCTACAATCACTGTGATAATAAATACATGCTTACAAGATAATTCAACACAATGTTTTACATCACTATGATTAAAAATGCAAGAATCACTCAAAATGAATTAATAATAAATTAATAAGTCAGTCATTTAAATCTGTATATAAGGATGCTGAATTGAGCAGGCATCTTAAAATATTAATAGTTTTTGAGGAATATTCACTCTCCAGCAGTAGTTACATCTCCATTTTATAGTAGAAAAAGTTACATTTTGTTTCCCAAGACTAATCTTCATTTTATTCTGAGACATCTACCTGAAATACTTTAATATTTATTAAGATCTTATTATGTGCCTGTCCACTAAAGACCTTATATTATTTCATGTACTCCTCATAGCCATCCTGAAAGGAAAATATTATCCTTACTTTACAAATGAAGAAACAATAACAATGCGCCTCAACTACAGACATGTGTTAGAAAATATTCAATCCATGTGTTATAAAAGTTCAAATGAGATGAAATCTAACTGAAGCTAAAGCCCATGGGGTTTTTTTTTTCCACTATATCAAAATGCCTACCTAGAAAAACAACAGAATGTAACCAGCAATCTATTAGCTACAATTTTAGCATCTGCATCTCTTCATTCTGGTGAGAGGCAGAAATCATAAATGCTCTTTAACAATCCCTAATAGACTGAAAAATAAACTTGGAGAATAGGACTGCCAAAATCCTGGCCTAAAATTAATAATCTCTTTTCATTAATGAGAAAAGCTAAAACAACTAGGTCGGTATTCCGAAGCTCACAAACTGGCACTTGGAGATAGCACAGTGTGCCATAGTGTGCCATTTACTAGTTTTGTCATTTACTAGTTCTGTAATCTTGGGCAAGACATTTAACTTTTCTGAGCCTCATATATAAGTAAAATATTAAAGTGTAATATTAAATTATACATTTTTAGGTATATTATATACTATAATAGTATAATATTATACACTCTTAGGTATAATATTAAAGTGTACACTTCAGGGGATAAAGTTAACGTATGTAAAGTTCTTAAAATAGTATCTGGCTTTAATAAGTCCTCAGTCCATGTTAGCTGTCATTATCATTTTTGTTATTAGCATTACAATTATGCAAATGAACTTAATGGCAACTAAGAAAAAACAATAATGGATGTTAAGGGTACTTCCCTATTTACATATTCTCACTACCACTAACCTCCACCTTTAGGTAGAATACTAACCTTAGTTTTTCTGTTTCTTGTTGAAAGCAGGGTACAAAGAATTTTCTAATAAAAACTCTATTGCCATGCTATAAAACTCATATTGAGAAAACATAGATACATGAGATAACCAGTCATTTTCTAATAGTTTTTCACTTAAAAAACATTATAAACATTCTCCAAATAAAATCTATACATTCTTCAATTTTTTCATTATGTACTATAAACATATACTAGCAAAAATTAAAAATGCTAAATACTTAAGATATTTAAAACTAATTCATAATCCTATCACTATAAAACTGCCTGAAGACTCTCTCCATAGTCCCTGTTAACAGTTTCAGAGGTTATTCTTTTTTATTTCACACAGACTTAGTCATATATATTTTACTTTTTTTAATAACAGAAAAGCAGACTCATGTTACATCTCATGGGCTCCAATCTACTTTTTAAATTAAAAGTATCTCATGGGCATCTTTCTGAGTCAGCGAGTAGAGGTATCTCATTCATTTCAGTACTGCATTTTCTAATGGTCTACTATATTTTATAGGACATATGTTAAAAAAAAAACAAAAACCTTGAAATACCTAGGAAATAAATTATACATGTTCAGCAGTTACAGTTCGTCCCACCAGTGCCTCTGAAACTGAAGGAGTTTCAGTCTAATCTCTAGTGTTTCATTCTTTTTTTTTCACTAGTGCATGTCTGTTGCACCTAATGATTCTATTCCTTGTGGGGAGTTGGTACACGTATGTAACACATCTTATTTTTTTTCACCCCCTTCCCCTCCCCTGCCATACTCTTTCCTCCATCTCTTGCTGTCCTTCCCATTTGAGAAGGGTCTATCTCCCTACGTCTTGTTATCTTTTGTTTTGCTCTTGGTTGATATTTTGGTCTTCTCATGTGGGAGAAACCATGCCATATTTAGCTTATGTATTTCATATTTCACTTAACATTATGCCATTGTTTTTTAAAAAAACTACTTTAAACATTGTTAGTAACCAAACTGAACAGGAGGTCTGAATCTTACTCCATATTTTTTTTCATTTGTTAGGTTACCATAAATTCAGGCAAACAGGTGGTACTCAGTAAATATTTGCTAAGAGACAGAATACTGAAAACACTAAGAGTCCAAGCTCAAAATTCTGTCCAACACTATCACCTGTGCTGGGCTAAGGGTATAATGTTAAAGACAAAAATGTAGTCTTCTATTTTCATTCTCTAGGAGAGGTGTGCACTAAAGCATGTGGGAGTAGATTTAGACTGAGTTCAAATGATTACAGGAAAAGACTGGCACAACACTCAAGAACAGCAAAAGATCAGCACAACACATAAAAATATTAGCTTAGAAAAGCCATCTTCAATTTTCTTAGAGAATACTGGGCTTGAAACCAAATAAATTACTTTTCTTCCATCTTATGATGGGTCTATAAAGTCACAAAGAACCCCAATTTGCTCATTTATAAAGTACTGATGATACTTACTACAGAATTATTATGAAGATTCAATTTGGAAATATATGTACAATTGCT